CAACGGCGGCGGCGAGAATTTGCTTCGAGTCTCGCATCAAAAACACTTTCACGACCGTCGGAAAATCAGCTGATGGAGACAAAGTCAGTTTGTATAATCTAAATTGGGATTTTTATTAGCGAAAGAAGTTGATTAATTGATTTAGCTTGAGAATCGAAATGAAGATAAGTTCTTAGCGCTGGGAAATAATTTCAAAACCAGTGGAAGAAAAGACGGGAAGTTTTCGATGATGAACTAAGCTTCATACACATTCAAGCATACATACATACATGCGAGTGATCACACTCAGAAAGAGCTAAAGCATCTTTTAAAGCAAGCAATAAACCAAGCAACAGAATAAGGCCAAAGCAAAGCAGGGCATGTTCTAGGCCGTCCCGGAAGCCCTTCCTGAGGCCCTGCGGCGGCGCCCTCTTCGACGAGTCTCCCTCCGCGCCCGACGATCAGGCAGGGCGAGGGGCGCGGGCGGAGGGCGGCGCCCAGCGAGCGAGGCAAGGCAAGAGGCGCGGGGACGAGCCCTACCATGCAGGGCGCCATCGATCTCGGCCAGGTAGCGCTTCCTCGGACGCAGGTCTCGGCGGCCGGGCTGGCGCAGCACCTTGAGGGCGGCCTGCGGGTTGTTGGTGTGGTAGGCGTGGGCGTGGGCGCGAGGGCGTGACGGCCGGGGGAAGTAGCGGTGGTAGGTGCGGCAGGTGGTGCAGGACTCGGCCCCGTGCTCGCCGTCGCAGTGGGGACACCGCTCTAGAAGTCAGGCAGGAGACCAAGGTTTAGTGCATCGAATGGCAGACCGGATGGGGGGCGGCAGAAGGGTCTTAAGGGTGCCCTTCCTCTCACTGAACTGGGGCTCCTTTTTACTGATAGTGCTTCCAGTGGCAGGCTAGAAAGGGGACAAGACAATGGAGCTCTTACCCCTTTTCACAATGGCTACCTTTCACTCATGCTCTAGCGCTACGAACAGCAGGTCGAACGAGAGACAAGATGGAAAAGGAGCTTCCCATTAAAGCTTCCTTTTCTTGCTTTCCCGTGACTGCAGTTCCCTCGTGCTTTGGTGCTCCGGTGATGCACGAAGCGAGGTGAAAAAGGGACACGGGGAAAGAGAGACTATCATAGTGATTTTCATCTATTTATTTACTCTACTTTCCATTCATGCTTTCGTGCGAGAGAGAGAGAGAGAGAGAGAGAGAGAGAGAGAGAGAGAGAGAGAGAGAGAGAGAGAGAGAGAGAGAGAGAGAGAGAGAGAGAGAGAGAAAGGGACCAGGGGGTACTCCGATAGTATGTCTCTGAAGTGGTTTTGACTCTTGCTTTGCGAATGAAGAGAGACAAAGAGAATAGAAGAGGAAAATATGAGGGCTGGAGGATGCGGGAGAGACCACAGGAATATCACAGGATACATCTAAAGTTTTGTACTGCAGAGGCTTCTTTTGCTTTCGGAAATAACTTTCTCTTATCATGGGCCCTAAAGGAGTTGATGAGTCATCTCACTAACACCTTAAACTCTGTAGTTGTCACGCCATACATATTATCTTTTAGTCATCAAGCGCTGTTAAAGAGCAGTGTGGATATGTAAGCACAAGGGTTTATTTACAAAATATGAATATTCAAGTCTTTATCTATGTCCCCTTCCCGGCCATAGCTACACACTTGGATCACCTGCTGAGTCCCCTCCTCCCCCTGGCCGATACCCCCCCCATCTTTTACTTAAGAGTCTTCTATATTTGGAAGTTACTGCTCTAATGGGAGGGAATGGATCCTAATTGGAGCTGTTAAGGACTTACGAGTCAATTATATGCAAAGGAAAACATACATCTTACGACCGCAGACTCACGCACAGTGCACAGGATGTCAACTATCATGCCGTACGTGTACTGGACACACACACACACACACACACACACACACACACACACACACACACACACACACACACACACACACACACACATAACCCTCCCCCCTCCCCCCAACACCAAAAGAACCCGAGGATCCAGCAACACCCCCAACACCTCAACCCCCTACCCCCCAAAAAAACCCTCATTGCAGGACCACGAACACGGCAAGGAAACCCTCTCCGCCAGGCAGACAATGTCAACGTCGTCGCCATTTCCTTCAGCGAAAAAAGAAAAAAAAATAAAAAGGCAAAAGTTAAAAAGACAAAAAGAAAAAAAGAAAAGCGAAAATATTGAAAACAAGAAAAAAAGATAAAAGGAAAAACGGAAGACAAAAAAATAATGAAAAAAAAGAACAAAAGATTAAGGAAAAAAGACAAAAGAGAGAGAGAACAAAAAAGAAAAAGAAAAGGAGTGAAAAAACAAAAATGAAAAAAAAAAAAAAAATGATCATTAACCTTGAAACCTAAATGCAGGGTCTGCTTGCTCTCTGCTTTGGCTCCTCGTCTCGCTTCTCCTGTTTGGTTGCTCGTTGTTTGTGTGTTTGCTTTTTATGATTCATATATGCTTCGGTCCGTCTGTTTGTTTGTATATATTTTCTCTTTTTCTGTCTACATCTATACACATATACATGCATACATTCGTACATATATTTACACACACACACACACACACACACACACACACACACACACACACACACACACACACACACACACACACACACACGAGCCCGCACATATATACGTGAATACCTATCATTTGCATTGTTCTTTCCTTTCCTTTCTCGTGGAAATCCTCCCGGGCCAGGTGCCAGCTGAGCCCGCCCCTTCGCCATGACTCGGCGCCGCAAGGAGAAGGAGGAGAGGGAGGAGAGGGAGAAGGAGAAGGAGAGGGAGAAGGAGAAGGAGAAGGAGAAGTAAGAGGGAGAAGGAGAGGGAGAGGGAGAAGGAGAAGGAGAGGGAGAAGGAGAAGGAGAAGGAGAGGGAGTAGGAGGAGAGGGAAGAGAGAGAGAAGGAGAAGGAGAGTGAGAAGGAGGAGAGGGAGAGGGAGAAGGAGGAGACGGAGAGGAGGAGAGGGAGAGGGAGAAGGAGAAGGAGAGGGAGAGGAGAAGGAGAAGGAGAGGGAGAGGGAGAGGGAGAGGAGAAGGAGAAGGAGAAGGAGAGGAGAGGGAGAAGGAGAAGGAGAGGGAGAAGGAGAGGGAGAGGGAGAAGGAGAAGGAGAGGGAGAAGGAGAAGGAGAGGGAGAAGGAGAAAAAAGAGAGAGAGAAGGAGAACGAGGAGAAGAAGAGAAGGAGTGACGTGGAGAAGGGGAGGGAGAGGAAGACGCAGGTGAGGGAGAAAGAGAAGGAAGAGAAGAGATCAGCTGGCATACACCGCATATATCTTGGCGTGACACCTGCTCGTGTTCATACTGTCATCCCCACTAAATCCGAGAGCTGTTAACCTTTTAATTAATCAACATTCCGTGTCTGTCGCATCATGTGGCCACAGAGTTCTCTCCCGGGCACCCGCCGCGTCCCTACCTCCAACTGCCCGACCTCCCGTGCCCTACGTACCAGGCTCGACGAGAGTCACGTGCGCGTCGTGGCCGAGGTCGTCCTTGGCCCTCCTCCTCGGGTGCGTGTAGCCTCCCCCGCCTCCTTCGGTCTCGCTCGACGTCCTCGCCAAGCCTCCTCCCGAGTCCGTCCTCCCCTGGCGGCTGCCGTATCTGCAGGAGGAGGAGCATCGATCCCTCAAGGTCACCTGTGGCCTCGTCATCGTCGATAAACGCATTTCATATCGCTAGTATTACCACAGTCGATAAACATATCCCATGTCACTCGAAAGAACCTCAGTCAACCCAAATATCAAATCATTGTTGCACGAAGGACGGGACTGAAAGGAAAAGCGTCGCCGTTCCTGGAAATCCTAATTACATACAGAACACTCCCATGCCCCTTGCACTCACCTGCTGGGCAGAGCGGTGCGGGGCATGTCGCTAAGGTTGCCGGTGCTCCGAGACAGGTACCGACTGCGGATACCAAGGTACCTATGGGTAAGGCGGGTGGGTGGCCATCAGTGAAGACAAATATAACCATTAAATCTCATGCAAAATAACCATGAGTTGATAGAAAGAGTTGATATCATGGTAGGTGACGGTTCCTTGGGCATGGAAAAGGCGCTGAGAGAGGGACCTCCAGGGAAGAGGGAAGTAATTCTTTGTTTTATTTGTCTTCACTTCGGAATCGGCAATGTGTAATAGAAAAAATCTTAAGTCGATTAAGTAGTCAGGATCTTGCCTTATCATTGATGCTATACATATTTAATAATCAGTTGTCTACGATGACCAAAGCTATTTATGATTCTATTTTTTAACTAACACTGCCATAGCGATTTATATCATTATAACACAATTCTAGTTTCACATATGGATAGCTCGCATAAAATTTATATGTAGGAGATACAACAGAAATTATGACAACCGTGATCAGAAAAAATCTATTATGATAAGAACATAAGTTTACCACAAACATTAACACGATCTTATCGATCTTATGACAACCCTTTTAATAAAACCCCAAATGGCCTCTCAATAAATGAATAAAGAAATGGAAGTATACTTGTTGTTCCTAGTGGGCGACGAAGGGATACGGGAGAGGAGATCGTCATCGGGGCGACGGTACACAAAGCGCGGTCTCGGGCCCTCGTCTCGTCTCCCAGAGCCCCTGCTGCTCTCGCCTGTGGGTGAGGAGGAGGTCCAGCAATTCACTTGATTAATGGTCAGAATACTATTTCCTTTCGATAAAATGTCTGATAAAATCAATATACGAATAAAAGTTGTTTTTTTTTATTGAAAGTTGGAACAGTAGTTTCGAAATCCTCCTCGTCTTCGAAATTGATGAGTCACCTTTCAATAAAACTCATATGTATACCTATTTTTCTCTGCTACAGAAGAATTTGCCGCCTCTCAGGAAATCGACAAAACGCAAAGAAAGTGGAGAAGGAGAGGAGCGAGAGAAACGAGAAAGAATGGGAAGCAGGAGAAAAGAAGTTGCCGCCTCAGAATCTCAACAAGTGCACGCACTTTCGGCGACGGACATCACGCACATCCACACGGGAAGTGACGAAACGAGGAGAGAAGAGGAAGCAGAATGAGAGGAGCGAGAGAAACGAGAAGAGAAGAGGAATTAGTAGGGAGAGGGAGAGAAACGAGAAGAGAAGAGGAAACAGAAAGAGGAGCGAGAAACGAGAGAGAAGAGGAAGCTGAAGGAGAGGAGCGAGAGAAACGAGAAGAGGAGAGGAAACAGAAAGAGAGGAGCGAGAAAACAAGAAGAGAAGAGGAAACAGAAAGAGAGGAGCGAGAGAAACGAGAAGAAGAAAGGGGAGCAGGAGAGGAGCGAGACCTGCAGGACGCCTCACCGTGCCTGGGGCTCGTCTGCAAGGGCAGCGGCTCCTCCTCGCCCCGCACCAACGCCCCTCCACCGCCGCCGCCACCGCCACCGCCGCCGCCCTCACTCGAACCGCCGCCGTCGCCCTTCCTTCCTTCGTCAGGAGACTTCGGCCGGAACACCGCCTGGAGGGAGACACGGCCTTCAACTCAGATAAGAATACGTGATCATATATTCCATTATTTATCCTGGTTATGACTGTTCCCACGCGGTGCGATTATTCACTGGACAGGGAAAGATATTCACAGCTTTTCCCTCCTTCATCATCTCCTCCCTCCCTCCCTCATCTCCCCTTCCCTCTTCCCTTCATCTCTTCCCTCGTTCCTCCATCACCTCTTCCTTCCCTCCTTCATCCTCTCCTCCTCCTTCCTCCATCCATCCCCTGCCTCCCTCCTCCGTCTCTTCCCTCCCTCCTTCATCCCTCCCTTTGTCCTCCCTCTCCTCACCTTCGTCGCACCGTCTCTTCCCTCCTTTCCTCCCTCCTCCATCATCCTCCTCTCCCTCCCTCCTCCGTCTTCCCTCCCTCCTTCATCCTCTCCTCCCTCCTCCATCATCCCTCCCTCCTTCATCCTCTCCTCCCTCCCTCCATCATCCCTCCCTCCCTCCCCCCTCCATCATCCCCTCCCTCCATCATCCCCTCCCTCCCTCCCTCCCTCCTTCATCCCTTTCCTCACTCCGTCTCTTCCTCCCTCCTTCATACCCTCCAACCTCCTTCCTTCATCCTCTCCTCCCTCCTCCCTCCCTCCCTCCTCCGTCTCTTCCTCCCTTCTCCTTCCTTTCCTCACCTCCGTCTTTTCCCTCCCTCCTTCATCCCTCCCTTTCCTCACCACCGTCTCTTCTCTCCCTCCCTTCCTCCTCTCCTCCCTCCCTCCCTCCATCATCCCCTCCTTCCCTCCCTCCTCCATCATCTCCTCCCTCCTTCCCTGCCTCCACCCTCTCCTCACCTCCTTCATCCCTCCCTTCCTCCTCCTCTCCTCCCTCCCTTCCTCCTCCCTCCTCCATCTCCTTTATCCTCCCTCACCCTCTCCTCACCTCCTTCATAGCCTTCCTTCCTCCTCTCCTCCTTCCTCCTCCTCTCCTCCCTTCCTCCTCCCTCTTCTCACCTTCGTCGCCCGGTTCTGCGCGTGTCCGAAGCTGACGGTGTCCTGCTCGCACTGGTGGAGCGGCGTCCTGGTCTCGCTGACGCTCGTTCTCGTCGACACCTCGATCTTCGGTGAAATAATTCCCTGCAGAGAAGAGAGCAGAAGAAAAAATGATGATGATGAGAGGAAGAAGAAGAAGGAAAGAGAGAAGGAAATAAAGTGAATGGTGATGAGAGGAAGAAGAGGAAGGAAAGAGAGAAGGAATAAAGTGAATGGTGATGAGAGGAAGAAGAAGAAGGAAAAGAGAGAAGGAATAAAGTGAATGGTGACGAGAAGAAGAGGAAGGAAAGGGAGAAGGAATAAAGTGAATATGATGACAGGAAGAAGAAGAAGGAAAGAGAGAAGGAATAAAGTGAATGATGATGAGAGGAAGAAGAGGAAGGAAAGAGAGAAGGAATAAAGTGAATGTGATGAGAGGAAGAAGAAGGAAAGAGAGAAGGAATAAAGTGAATATGATGACAGGAAGAAGAAGGAAAATGAGAAGGAATAAAGTGAATGATGACAGGAAGAAGAAGAAAAGAGAGAAGGAATAAACTGAATAATGACGATAGGAAGAAGAAGAAAAAGAGAGAAGGAATAAAGTGAATGATGACAGGAAGAAGAAGAAAAAAGAGATGGAATAAAATGAATGATGACGACAGAATGAATAATGACAACAGGAAGAACAAGAAAAAAAACAAAAGGAATAACATTAGTAGTGACGACGGGAAGATAAAAAAACAAGAGAAGAAAACAGAAAAAAATGACGACGGGAAGAAGAAGAAACAGAAATAAGATAATGACGACAGGAAGAAGAAAAAAAGAGAGAAGGAATAAAATGAATAATGACGACAGGAAGAAGAAAAAGAGAAAGAATAAAACGAATTATGACAGAAGAAGAAAAAAAAGAGAAGGAATAAAATGAATAATGACAGAAAGAAAAAGAGAAAGAATAAGATGAATAATGAAAAATGACGACAGAATAGAAAATGTAGAAAAAATGAAAAGAATTTAAAAAAGGAAAGAAAGAATGCGGGGAAATATACAAGACAAAAAAATCGTGATA